GGGCGATTTGGTACGACCCCCTGTGTGTAGCTCAAAGTGGTGATAAGATTACTTAAACAATAATAATCGTATAAATACAGAACTTTTTAGACAAGAATGCTGAATTTCGGATCAAATTTCATAAAAGACGAGTTACCGTTCCGAAAAACAGCGTACGCATGGAATTTGGACATAAAGTCATTTGTGACGCGGACCTCATGGCTGAGGGCTAAAGGATTGACAGGTTTTGAATGTGGTGGATCGCGCCCTCGGTGACTGCAATGGGGCGCGTTTGTTGAATGGGAACAGGTGTCGAAAGGGGAAATTGAGAAGTAGAGGAATTTTTCCTTGTAAAATTTCAGGTTCCTCGGAAGACGGAGGTGGATTCTGGATCACCGACGGTCATCCTTCTTAAGTAGAGCGGATTTGTTCTTAAACAATCTGAAATAATTAAGTTATTGAGCAAGAAATGAATTTGCACTACAATTTTCACCTTCCTCTTTTTAGGGCTATAACTTTCTTCATATTCGAGCTTTTGCGCCGAAGTTATTTGATTTAAAAAATTCAAATTATCTCCAATCATGGTAAAAATTCTTCGAAAGTTAATTTAGTAAAAATTTAGTACGTTGTTACTTTTTTCTGTGCAAATGCGACTTTTCTTCAAACGATCATAACTTCCTTCAAAGTCATTCATTTGGGAAGCTGAACACGGTATGAGAAACTACAGGATTCAAGCTTTCTAAAAGTACCCAAACGTTTCTGAAAAGTCAGCAGTTCAAAAATTAGTCCCGTTGCTACATTTTTTGAGGGGCATTCTTCAAGCCATTTTCTTGAAAACGCGGGTTTTTTTAGGTTTCACTGGCCGTAACCTCCAGGGAAAACAATATCGTGTTGACCATAGGATGTGTTAGAATGCTTCGAGCATGCGCTTGCACTGACATCCCCTGCCTTGGTGTGCGCCACGCCTCGGTCGCGCTTCTGATTCGCTGATTCATTTGAAAGCTCATTCAGAAGGAAGCGGCTTACAGATGCTCTAGCATCAATTATCTTGCGTAAACGTAATGTGGTGACTATTGTCCATGTTGTCTTAGGCAATACTCCATACTCCAGCTACACTTTAGTTTCAAATGTGGTTTCGTGGGTGGACCCATGTCATGGTGGGAGCACTTTTTTGAACGATGCTACATGTCTTGCAGCTGCTGTTTCTGCAAGTCTTCCTTTCTCATGCTCTTCCTGAAACATGGTTATGATCAGTAGGGAGATTACCACAAATCCCACTGCCGGCCACCGAGAGAGTACGACCCCCTCCGGGTCCATCCAGTACGACCCCCCGTTGCTACTTGTAGCAACATAGGGTTGACCTAAACCCAAAACTTGAAAGTTTCGTGAATCTGACGCAATGTTACAGGCTGCCCTCATTTTTAGAACTTTTTTATATATACAACTGCACCCTTTGTAGCTGGTATACGGACTACTTGATATTTCCTCAACGGTCTTGCCGCGAATGGCAAGATCACCACGATAGAGAAGGTGTGAAAGTCCTGGGGACTAGGCTTGCGAGAAAGAGGGGGCCGCGAGAGAGGAGTGAGGTTAAAGGACTGAGTTCAGGAAGTCCGTCGACCCTTTGTAGCTTACAAATATGCCCTTTCTGGCACCTGTAGTTGAGAAAGTTCTAATGTTTTGTATGGATATGGTTCTGTTCGAGCTTTTCGCACTCGGTATTTTGAACAATAGTGAGGCTTTTTTGTAGATAATCGCCGGACTGATGGCGTGATCGCCACGTGTTTCCAGGATCTTGTCGAAGTACCACGTCACCGACGTCAATCAAATTTCCCTGTCGGTTGAGGTCACCTCTTAAGCGAATGTACTTTTCTATGTCCCATAAAAGCGCCTTACTGAACGTAATTCATCCGATAGTTGACTTCTTCTTTTTTTCATATACTGGTAAGTACTGAGCTTTCAATTATGCTTATAGCTTTTGCTAGATTCGAATCGCTTTCTTCATAGCTTCATCGCCGCATGATTTTGGGGACCAAATCAAGTAGTTTTCAGACCTCGCGATTGAAATTGTACCTACATACTTTAGTGTTTTTAACCCTCCCAGCCAGTAATCCTCAAGAATCCAGTGACCCAACTCAGTGGCGATCTCAGTCCCATTTACGCCGACTTAGCGATCTACTTTTGGGCGTGCTTATGTCTTTCTAGGAAGATGGTCAGCTTTTGGCGATCGAATCGCGCGATTCGCTACTAGCGATTCGCGTAATTCGCTAGCGTCCGCGGCGCGTTGCGGTACCAGCCAATTGAGTGATTCACTGGCCGCGACGCGACCGCAGACGCCAGCGAATCACGCTATTCGCGAATTCTTAATGATATTGACGTTAGGTTATTTAATTCCTGGTCGGATTGGTGAAATCACTGCTGCCGCAATACTGAGTAAGTTAAGCTTTGTATAACAGCTTGTGCAGTTTGTTCGGAAAAAAAGTCGGTGAAAGTGAACGCTGTTAGCAAGAGTTAGACTCTATCTAAAGGGGATTAGCTTGAGGAAAAAGCCATTTTTCATGAATAATAGTCTCCCGCGACCTTCCGTGCGAACTTCCCCTTATACAGTGCTCCCTTCCACGTGTGAAGCAACACCTCGTCTAGGTGACAGTTTTGCACAAAAAGTGTTTTACATAGAAATTAGCATTACAATCATGAAATAACAAATGGACTTGTAATGACAGTAGTCTCCATTTGATGTCTACTCTAATTTTATTATCTGATTCGCTGTAATGACGCTTTAACCAACACAGGCGTGAGCCAGCGCTCCGCATCGGTGGAATTTTGGACTTCTTCAGGCTGCGGTACGAAACGTAAGGCCAGTTAATAAATATTCCATTTTAAACCTTTTTTCAGTGGGCTATGAACAGGCGTGGTATCAACAGCTTCTATTTTTGTCTCATACTCCGAGGTTTGGTCTTCAAGGGATCAGTAGGTAATGAAAAGAATATGTGTAAAGTGGGAGAGTAGAATTGGAGGTCTTTAGATCTAACCGAAAAGTTTTGGCGTGTACTGGCTGAAAACTTGAAACCCCTAACGGTCGTTTTCCTATTCTGCCAATCAGTGCGTGGCCATCTTTCTCAGCTGAACTTCATAATTCCTCAAAACGTGAGCTGGGAAAGTAGTCCGACTCGCTCCAGAACGAGGATTCCACGATAAGAACGGATTCCGAAAAAGGCGAAATTAACCCTGTAAAGAGGCAGGCGGACCCCTGAGAGTGCGGGTCAACACAATTCGCGATCGAAGGAATCTCTCGAAGGTCTTCCTTTTGGCGTAGTTGGTCCTGAACACCCACCGATTATCTAATCACTCACCATATGTCTATACGCGGCTAGTGATTAGGTAGCAAAAATAGCGTGAGTTTGAAAGGAGGCCAGCACCCGGTGGGAGTCGCATTGGTGCGGAAATCAGCGGAGAAGGAAAGGGTCCCATTGCTTGGGTTTTGGGTAGTTTCACGTGGTTTCTTCTTCATCCCTGCTCCGCTGACCAGCTCTACCTTTGTTTTCGATGAGCTAACTTTTCATCATTAAATCCGCCTTGAGCTACGGGAATTCAGGCTTATGTTGTAAAGTTAATACCCTTCTATATTTCATACGTGTACACCTAATGAAATAATATTTTGACGTGCATGGCAATCTTTGTCGCATGCTGTCCGGGCGAATCGAGCCTTCATTTCGTCCGGTGTGGGTTAGGTGGTACCAGAATGGTGTTTAGGAGGACAAAAGCGAAACTTGGCTTGGACAATACTGGTGGCACCACAAGTTATTATATAAGCCGGATTGCAGTTGAAGTGAAACAAGGTAATGAATGGAAGTCAAATGTTTGGCGAATCTCAGTAGGAGATTGATCAACTCTGACTGTCCGGTTCTCTGTCATTGGAGCTATTAGCTTGAGGTTATTGGGACTGAAATGTCATCTTCCAATCGTTTTGTTTCTCTTTTTTTCTTTTTTTTTCCATAATTTATTTGCTGGCAGTATGGACTGGAATCTGGCGCCTACTGATATTATTCATATAGGCGAAGCGATTCCCGTAATTGTTTATGAAACACAGTT